CGAAATTGAAGCTTGAAGGATGATGCGATGACGGGCAAACGATCGGAATATTGGTGGATGATGTAATGGAATGATAATGACAGAGTGACATGAAGGGGTGATGACGATGAAGGAAAAAAGATAGGGGTGACAGAAGGATGAAGTTAAGGAAAAGAAAAGAAGGACGAGGGGGTAGCAGAAGGTAAGAGAAAGAGGAAGACGTGCGACAAGTAGTCGAGAAGATGAGATGGTCGACATGATTCACATGAAGATGAGGTGCGACAAGTAGTCGAAAAGACGAGATTAAAAAGACGAGATTGAAATTGAACCTGGGGGGCCGGGGAGATATTGAAGTTCTATGACCGGTGAAGCCCAGGGAGACATTGAAATTGTGCCCGGGTAGGCCCGGAGTCACAATGACGAAGACGAGACGAGACAGTGCCCGGGTAGGCCCGGGACACGAAGACGAAGATGAGACGAGACAGTGCCTGGGTAGGCCCAGGACACAAAGACGAAGATGGGACGAGAAAGTGCCTGGGTAGGCCCGGGACACAAAGATGAAGATGAGACGAGACAGTGCCCGGGTAGGCCCGGGACATGAAGACGAAGATGAGACGAGACGAGATGATGTTGAAGAGACAAGGTGATGTTGAAGAGACAGGATGACGTTGAAGAGATGAGATGACGTTGAAGAGACGGGGATGACGTTGAATGAGACAAGATAATGTTGAAGAAACGGGATGATGATGGAAGAGATGAGATGATGTTGAAGAGAGGGGGATGACGTTGAAGAGACGAGACCATTTTGAAGAGATTCCGAAGAGTGGGGAGGTGATGGATGGCATCGAGACGACGAAAATGAAGTTGAAAAAAAAAGGGGATGATGAAGATAGACTGATAAGATAACGAGTGATTGCCCAGCGGGAAGGAATTACTGGGGTTGAGAGCTAGAATTGTTGTTGGTCATGGTAACAGGCAGTCAGGGAGTCGTGAAAAAGACGAGCGAGCAGCAGGCCCATAACCTGTATGACCCTGACGCTGTCACGGATAGGGGGAAAAGACCAATATATGCTGATGACCGCCAGAGCGGGACTATATACTGTACATCACGTGCTACGAGCAGATCACATGGCGTCGTGACTGCCACAGACATCTACAACATCATCCTGGAACATTCGACATGACACTATGAGGCGGTAACCAGGCGTTCAACACGCGTGACATCTCACAACACGTGTTATTGCCTCACGACGCCTCATCGGATTTGTAATAATTTAGTGATGCATAGGCGTTGTGACTCATCTGATCGGTGAGACCGTACTAACCTGATACATTCACCACCTTCGCCACCCATTCAAAAATTGTCTCACACAAGCGCTTCCCCACCCCTTCAAATTCAAATGGGATGGAAAATCCTGAGAAAAAAAGTCATCCCGGAGATGGTCTCGGAGTGATATAAACATGGTGTAAGTCGGTGACCGAGCGGCATGCTTCGTAGTAGACATCTAAACAGTGGCCTCTCGAAACCTCTCGAAACAGATACAACCAGAATGTCACAATATCAGGTGCCTCCCAGAGTCCCGGTTTTGTGGAAGACCAATAGAATGGACAAACGCTGGACAAAGTATAAGTACGTAAGTGCTTGTTCAAAGAAAGAAAAAATCGTTATCATCTAAGAATGACAGAATAACGACGTGCGTGGAAGACCACCGAGTTTTTCCATCTAGAATAAGCATTAATGCGATCTCCGGTTTCGATGCTTGAGCACTCTTTGTCAAGAGACTCTTCGGTTTGCTGAAGGCCCAGCGAAGGGACAAATTGGCTTCGTTAATCAACGCAACGAGAAATTTGTGCGTTTCCTGATGCAGGGCAACGGTACAATTATTTTCCAGGACTGTGAAAGGCACCTAACCATTATCCAAAGATCCCTATATTATATTAGGGTGTCGTTCACACGTCCTGTACCTTACGACGTGTCTTTGCTTCCACTCTCTGCTGCATCAATAGCTGTCGTCGTCTTTCGCAGTTCCTGGCCCTGGACCTCGAATATTTTATGGCGCCGGCGCAAGATCTACAGCTCGTTCCTGCGTGTACTAGGAAGGTTCCTGTGTCCAAGTACTTATGTTGCGAGCTGTGCATGCTTATTTGATACGCCACACTACATGGTATCAAATAATTCCATAACCGTGAGTTTTCTGAATCTTCCTCTCATTGAAATGGGAAATTATACAATTCCCCAGGCTGTTTTGGATATATGTCCGTCTCCACATGCAAAGTCAACCTTCACAGGATTTCCGGCGCCGTATGAGCGGTCAACACAGACACTCTCGTAATTTGAAACATCGATTTCTTTATTTTCAATCGTCTCCGACCTGGATTTTCAGATCTCTGCTCCCCCTTCTCTTGCCCTTCGTGGACAAGACCAAGAGAGTGTCATCACCAGTCGCTTCTTTCCAATCCATTCACCGCAGTAGTGATGACGGCACTTGGCGGCGTTAACGGGACTAACTGTAATGCGACGCAGTATCAGCAATCGCTACAGTCTGGTGACAGTCGCAGCCCCTCAATTACGTGTCTAACACACGGGGAGAGTATCGGCTTAGTTGTAAGCATCTAGCTTATCTGTCTCCGACTCTAAATTCATTTAATTCACAGTTTGCGGCCGAAGCGTCGTTCCTTAGTTGCATTTGTGTCACCACAATGATTATCTGGATTGGCGTACGTCCGACTTCAATTCATGTGTTTATCCTGTTTGACGACATTATGCAAAGCGGAACATACATTGGTATAAGAAGACGTTCCCAAACGGTAATTGGGAGTTGTTTCGGGGGCCTGCTGACATCTACATGGTCTGCCTGACAATGTTTATGCTGCCATTTGCTCGGCTCATTGAAATTTCACGATAGTTCTCGCTTTTTGCATTCGACATATTGCAAGCAACTGGCGGTATTCTCAATATTAGGTGGGCTCACAATGGGATCGTCACGACAGGGCCCTATTGCACAGCACAAGGCCTTGTCGCACAAATTGGTGAACTCGGAGTCGCCTGATCACCCTCGTACGTCTCCTCTCCCAATGTCTTTGCGTGTGAGACCCCGCTGATATGTAGCTTATCAGCTTCTCGCTATCCACACCTTCGTAGCAGCGGTGTTGCAAGCTGACTTAAAAGCGCGTCGCGTTGCCCTTGGCTTGGTCTGTCTCGCTTTCGTTTTCATCACGCTCTGGGTCGCCATCGGCGCAGGCATTCACAAGAATTATGAAACACCCACACCTGTGCGTAATTTATCTTTATTCCTTTCGTCAATGCTGACACTACTCGGGTCAGGATTGGTGCTGGATCAGCCCTCAGTTCCCGCGAGAACGCCTCGCTGGCGAAACCATCTGGATGTGGATCGCACTATTTGCTTCGGTAATACTATACGTTCCGCTATATTTCTGGGCGGAGGGTTACTGGGCGATCGACGATGATTACAGGTTTCTTTGGTGGAACGCTGATAAGAGGGTTGAATACTCACAGAGGCGGGCAGCGTTGGGAATGCTTCTGTAAGCCATCGCCTGTCGAGTCGTGAATTCCGCTCACAGCATATCGATTATCAAGTTACCCGCTGGCATACTCCCTCGTCATCCTCCCTCTTACCATAGCACGGTGTGTGCAATTTAGCCACCACAACGTACCGCCTGCGGTTACATTTGTCGTCGTCTCAATTTTCTACCTCTCCGGCGCCATCAACGTCGTCCTGTTCCTGATTACCAGACCACAACTCCTCCTCTTCCCTCGTCCTAGGGAACTCGACGGACAGGAGGAAATGGAACTGACTCAAGAATAGAGAGGTCCGGCAATTTTCTCCGACACGGAGACGTTCCAACGCAGTCCAGAGCTGACCTCAGCTGCGCTCGGAGATGGGAGCTCTGTCAATTCTAGGCCAATACCGGCCGACATCTGAGCAAGATGGACGCGGATCTGTAGCAGTTACTTTCTTTTCTTTTTCCCTGTATAACGCTATGCAAAGTACGGTTTACAAGTCCGTTGTCTCAATACCAATGAATTTTCAACTGTATATTTCTGGTAGCGGCGTAGTGTTTTCGTACAGATTCCTATCTCGACTTCCCACACTCGGCCAGAGAGGGCTCAAACTAGCACCGGGATTTTTTGCGTGACCATACAATATTTGATCCAATCGGTCGTACGTATTTTCAGGAAGGCTCGTCGCACCTATCGCTGATACATTACTCATTCAACAACTGTCTTGAAAATCCCTACCCCCCTAGGGATGGGATGGAAAATGAGAGGAAAAGAAGTGTTATCGCGTCGATCAGCATCCAACTCCGCCAAGTCTGTTTTCCCGTGGTGTGGTGGAAATGTGAAATTGTTTGAAGACCTCTATTATCTCCCCTACGCGTGCACGAGCGGATAACAGCGATTTCACTCGTCGATTGCGTGAGGTCGTACGTACTTCGAGGGGAAAGTTTCCGACGTCGTGAGCCTGTGTCTGGATTGTTATGAGACTTGAAACAGTTATTCGAATTTGTCAAGATGGAAAAGATGCTCATCCGTTCTCCGAGACGGCGAACAGCAATAGACTCTGTCTGTCGTGATCCATCGCTATCGATGAGGGAACATCACTGGAAGCCGCTCTCGGGATCATCGTGCTCTACTGAATAAAATTGAATCCTACCTGAAATACTTACCATCAACACGTACGAGGGAACCTCAAACAGTATTTATCCTGGATTCAAGTCAATGGATCCCGTCGTCCCACGAATCATAGACCCAACGAAACATTCAGACGGAATGTTTCGTTGGGTTTACGATTTGACGAACGACAGTGAGCTTTCATGGGTAAACGCGCTGAACAACGGAAAAAGCGTCCTGCACCGAAATACAGGTGGGTTTTCAGCATCCATGTATGCGAAAAACGATTGAACGAATGAACAGACGAGAATGAAAGACAGCAGAGAACCGCAAATCGAGACACCACAGAGACCACACTCACCTTATGCTCGAACATCATTTTCACAGATGACCAGACTCGGGTTTGAAATTTGAACCCAGGACCTCTTGGATACATTCTAGGTACTCTACCACTGAGCTATTGGTCCTTCTATGTGGGATGTCAGGTTGTTGTTGAACTGGAAGAGTGAACAGACGGAGGCGAGAATCAACAGGAAAAAAAAGATGATCGATAGTTGATCAATACAAATAGTCTAGGAAATACAGTAACCCCCCTGCCACCCCGCCAGCTCTCTGCTTCTGGTTTCGGGTTCCCGGAGTGGTTCCGGACATTTTTCGCGGTGTTCGTGTTCGATCACTGTTCTACGAAGCGGCAGAGCCCCCCATCATCGCAACTGCATGTTCCTGGCTTGTAGATCCTGGACCTCGGACCTCACGACCTCGGGAGTTTGTTGGCACCGCTACGGGCTCCAGAAGACGTTCTTCTATTGACTGGAGGTCTATCGCCGCACCACCGGCGGTGTCACGACAGGTTGATTGCTAGTACGCGCATTGCTTGTGGTGTTAACGATTACTTCCATACTTCCATACTAGTGAGCCTCCAGTGACCTTCCTCCGGAAATTATCCCTCGTCTTACACGGCGACTTCGCCAGTTACATCAAGGCGCCCATATGAATATGAAAGCAAGATCATTCCCCAGATTGTTACACTGATGTGTTTTATGTCACAATTTGGGGAAATGTAAGTTATTACATGTGGACGTCCCGCGCCGCTGTATGACCCACCAAAACTGCGCACGTAATGTACGGGCATAGTTACCAACTTTGTGATTGTGACCCCTGCTCACCCTTACCAGCGCATTACAGAGACAGTCCCGCTTACTCCGTCGAGTGCTGTCATCCCGCCGACTATAATCAGTCCATAGACCCTAGTGTTATCACCTCGATTCATGTTTAACACTTGGGGAGAGGATTGACTTATCTGTGAGTTCTGGCCCATCAGTCTTCGTCTCGGACACATCCGATACGCAGCTTACAGCCGAAGCATCGTTTATTAGTTCCATTTGTATTGTTGTCATATTTATCTGGATCGGCGTATTTTCGATTTCCATTCACGCATCTCTCCTGTCCGACGGAATATTGCATAGTGGAACATGAGGTAACTTAGTATAGGAAGACGTTTCCAAAGGGCGACTGGAAGTACTCCAGGGGTTGACAACGTGGTCTGCCAGATAGATTTCTGCTACGAGCTGCTTGGCTCATAGAATTTGCTCGATAGTTCTCGCTTTCGTATTCGACATTTCGCAAACAATTAATGGTCTCCTCAATATCAGGTGGGCTCACAACGGGATCGTCACGTCAGGGCACTATTGATTGGTGAAGTTGGAGTCGCCCTGATCACCCTCGCGTATCTCGTCTCACCTTTAATATTGTCTTTTGGTCTGAGACCCACCGATTGCATCTCGCCAGTGTCTCGTCGCCCACACTTTCGTAGCCGCCCTGTGGCAAGTTGGCCTGCACGCTCGTGGCATTGCCCTTGGCACGGTTTGCCTTGCTTGCGTTTTCATGACGCTCTGGGTTGCCGTCGGCGCGGGCATACACAAGAATTATGAAAGGCCTACACCTGTGCGCTTACTCAACCCGTTCATTTTCCACCCTATCCTCACTGCTGACACTCCTCGGGTCAGTATCGGTGCTGGATCAGTCCTAAGTACTCGGGCAAAGCTTTGGTGTATACATCTCGCTGTGGAATCGCACCGGCATTACTACACATCCGACTATATTTTTGGACGGAAAGTCGCTTGTCTGTCGATGATGAGAGCTGGCTCAGATTTCACTTATCAGACCCCGATCAGAGGTTGAATACGCACAGCGGCGAGCTGCATTGGGAATGCCTCTGTAAGCCGTCGCCCCTCGAGTTCTGAAAGCGGCTCACATATCATTAGATCATCAGTCACCCCCTCGTCCTTCCTCTCTCCGTACCACGATGTTTGAAGTACATTTAACACAACGTACCGTCTGCGGCTATTTTTTTGGTGTCACAATGTTCAACCTCTCCGGGGCTATCAGACAACATTTATTCTGGATTTCAGTCGCTGCCCCCCGTCGTTCATATCCATCGGAACGTTCAGATGGAATGTTCCGCTGGGTATACGATTTGACGAACAATAGTGAGCTTTCATGGCTAAATGTGCTGAATGAGTGAAGGGAGAATATTGAAAACACAAACAACAGTCAGTACAATTGCAAGTAAAGTCTCCACACTCACTGGTTTCCGGTTTCCAGGCATTTTTCGTTGACCTGCAGCGTTCGATGCGAGTACGAAGCGGCGGACTTTTTTTGAACTCCCCTTTCCCTTTCATTGCAACTGCATTTTCCCGGGCTGTGAATATGCGTGAATCCCAGTCCTCGGGCCTCGCCAGGTTCGCTTCAGGCTCTAGTCGATACCGTAAGATCTCCGCGCCACGGGTGTCCCAAACTGTGCATGGTTAATTGTTACGCGCGCAATTTGTACGCCACAAGACTGGGTAACGACTACCTTCATAATGGTGAGCTTCCTCCAAAGATTATACCCCTTCTTCCACGGCGACTTCAATGATTATATTAAGGCGCCTATGCGAGAGCAAAATGGGGCGTTACAATTCCCCAGGTTGTGATAGTTCTTGATCTATTTCACGTCAACATCCTAGGATCCCCCACGCCGCCATCATATGGCCGTCAGAACTGCCCTCTCGTAATGTACGGACGTAGATTCCTTTTATTTCCCATCGTTTTCGACTTTCTGATCCCACGCTCGCCCTTCCCTCACCCTTTGTGGACCGCGATAATAATCGCCCTTCTCTCCTTTCTAACTCACTCGCAGGGATACCAGTAGTCGGCGTGATGACGACACTCGACAGCGTAAACGGGACTGCCTGTAATATAGCGCAGTATCAGCAATCCCTACAGTCTTATTTGCTTTCTCCCCTTGTTGGAGATGAGGATTACCCCTCGATTTCATGTTTAACCGCCGGGGATAGGATTGGCTTGGCTGTGAGTATCTTATCCCATCAGTCATCACCTCCGTCTCGAACACATCCAATTTACAGTTAATAGCCGAAGCATCGTTCATTAGTTCCATAAGTGTTGTTGTCATGTTTTTCTGGATCGGCGTATGTTCGATTTCCTTTCATATATATCTCCTGTTTGACGAGATATTGCATAGTGGAACGTACGATGGTATAGGAAGACGTTTCCAAAGGGTGACTGGAAGTTGTTCCAGAGGCCGGCTGATATCTACGTGGTCTGCCTGACGCGTTTTCTGCTGCTATCTGTTCGGCTCATTGAATTTGGATGATAGTTCTCACTTTTCGTATTTGATATTGTGCAAGCAATTGGTGGTGCCCTCAATATCAGGTGGGCTCACAACGGGATCATCACGACTGGGGGCTATTGCACAGCACAAGGCATCACCCAACAGATTGGTGAAGCTGGAGTCGCCCAGATCACCCTCGTGCGTCTCGCCTTCATAATAATGACTTTCGGTCTGAGACCCATTGATGTGCATTTCGCCAGATTCTTGCCGTTCACACTTTCGTAGCCGCCCTGTGGCAAGTTGGCCTGCAAGCGCGTGGCGTTGCCCTTGGCATGGTTTGCCTTGTTTGTGTTTTCATTACGCTCTGTGTTGCCATCGGCGCAGGCATTCACATGGACTATATTGTACCTACAGTGCGTTTACTCAATCCCAATTTTTTTTCCACCCTTTTCCTCACTGCTGACACTACTCGGGTCAGTATTGGTGCTGGATCAATCCTGAGTACGGGGCATGCGCCTTGGTGGTGTATTCGTCTGGCTGTGGATCACACTATTTGCTTCGGCAATACTATACATCCCACTATATTTCTGGACTGAAGGTCGCTTGTCTGTCGATGAACGGAGCTGGTTCAGGTTTCACACTTCGGACCCCGATCTGAAAGTTGACTAGTTGACTACTCACAGCGGCGAGCTGCATTGGGAATGATTCTGTAAGCCGTCACCTCGAGTTGTGAAAGCAGCTCACAGATCATTAAATCATCAGTCACCCTCTCGCATATTCCCTCATTGTCGTTCCTTTCACTGTACCACGATGGTTGCAGTTCAATTTCCACGAAGTATCGCCTGCGACTGTGTTTTTTGGTTTTACAATGTTCAACCTCTCCGGTGCCATCAACGTCGTCCTGTTCCTGATTGCCAGACCCCGCCTCCTCCTCTTTCCCCGTCCTGAAGAACTCCCGAGCCGGAAATAGAACTTGCTCGTCAGGGTACTGGCTCGGCAATTTTCTCCGACTTAGCGAAATTCTGACACAGTCCAGATCCGACCTCGGCTGCGCTGGGGGATGGGGGCTCTAGGGACAGCACAACACCACTTCACGTCAGTTATACACGAATATCGGACGAAATTTAATC